GAGTTAGTTACAACCGAGCAACAGGACCGGAAATTAATTTCATAGCATATTGTCATATTGGTGTGTCTGTAAGTTCTAAAACGTTCGTCGTGATGGGCGAAACCGGCCCACCGGGAATCTCGTGTCGCGAATATGGACCACACGACCATTCCCACCATCATTTCCTCGTGTTCCTTAGCCGACTGTTCACCCTTTTTTTCCCCGCGTCTCGCGTTTGCTTCAACAACAAAGCGTCAAGAACGCGACTCGGTCGTCGCCGTCGAACCACGTACGCCCGTAGTTCAACCTAATTTTTCATTTCGCTTGATTCTTCTTCATTTTTTTTTTCTCTTTTTTTTTTCTCTTTTAATACGCTCCTTTCGTTTTCCTCGGCAACGACTCTCCCTCCTATGTTAAACGTACTGTGACCTATGGACTATGGCACTTGGTGCAACTAGTTCGGATTTTCTTGGATACTGCTTACACGTGTAAAGTACTTAATTATTATCGTTATTGTTATTTATATATATATATATATAGATTTTGTATATATATATATGTATATGTATATGACACATGGTAATTCGTGCGTTTCATTATGATACAGGCGTGCGCGAAACGATACAGTCAATTCAATTTCGCGAATTTAAACGGACAAACGAATTAAATGTGATTCGTTTGCTGGGTCAGTTTTGATTGGATTCTTAACACAAACTCAGCTTAGTAACATCATTCCGTCGCTTGGAAGCGATGACACGATATTTTTGTACCGAGAGTAATTAAAAATGGACGAAGACGAGTGAACAGATCTTGTTCGTACAAAGTTTGAATACAATGCACGGCGCAATTGAAAGCAGACAACTTTAAATGAATGAACACAAAAACGAACATTCCGAGTGCTTTATCGGGAACACGTATCAGAGGTGGGCAAAATTCGTATCTAGATGAAAATGATCCATCCCTGCATCCCTTAAACGAAAATAAAAAATTTCACTGCATAATGTAACGCCGTAAGTAAATCATAGAACGAAATAAGAAATAATTCATAAGGAAATATAAATTTAGCTGACCAATATAATTTGGATTACAGAAGGAAATATTTCTGAAAAGAGAATAAACATCGCAAATCAATTTTCCCAATACCCATTAGAGATTGCAATTCGAATTATAGAATGAAATATTGCTCAAAGAAGGATTCGAAATTTCACCGTCCACTCGAGCAAACGTCACGAATAAATGGATCCAATACCCATTAAATAGAGATTACAATTTAAATTATGGAATAAAATATTTCTCGCAGGAGAATTAAAAATATACCTGTTCAATGGAACGAATGTCACGAATAAATTCCCATGGGTTGATTTTATCCGTTATCTATTAATCCAGTCAAATTTTGCCCAACTCTGTTATCGGGAGACTACCAAATTTTCCTCGTGAGTTAGCCCTCCCCAGAGGCCAGGGAACAGAATCACTATCTCAAAATATGCGTTCCTCTCGTCCCTTGCAATCGGGATCAGCGCTACGAATTTTTGTTCGCATCCTCTTTGTTTGGGCATCTGTGAGTCCTTCGTGAAGCTGAGCTTGACTGTATCGCCTCGTAAAGAACGTTGATCGAGTCGATGATCGATATCAGTTCCTCGTATTCGGCTTACGAGCTACGGTCTATTATACATTTTAATAATACAGTTCCTCGTCGCCGCGCGAGCGTTACTGTAACGCGGAAAGAAGACCGTGCAGGTGCGAGTTAATATTTGTTTAAATTATCGTGCGCGCGAGTTTCTTTTTCCCTTCACCGTCTCTCTTGCCTCGAGAATCCATTTCGTCGGTCTGCCCCACCGCAGATCGTCGGGTTTCGGTTTAGTTTAACAGTCTAGAGTCTATACACAGTCCGTCGGTTTCGCCTAGAAAAAAGAAAAAAGAAAAAAAAAAAAAAAAAGAAATACGATTTTCCCCTATCTATAGGCCATTTTGTTGTCATGTCGCGCGAAAATGATACCGCTTTCTTTTGTGCAAAGGAACAAAAATCCCGCTCTCAATTCCTGTGCAGACGTTTTACGAACACCTTGATTACGCGTGAATTCGCGCAAATTCGCCTCTATCGCGCATCAGGGAAACGAGTCGCTTTCGTTCGATCTCGATTGATACTCCTGCTTCCGTTATCAACGATCCTGATCCGTGTATATTTTTCCCTTCGTCTACCTGGTATCGCGACGACGCTTGTCCCCCTTACATCTAGATAACGCGAATAACGTGAAAAAAATTAGTTAGATTTATTTCTCATACAAAAGTCGCGTTAATTATTCGTCCTCTCGTGTTTTGTTATACGTTATTTCTTTCTTTCTTTTTTTTTTTTTTATATTTTTATATTTTCCCGTTGTTCTCGTCGTTCACTGACTCGACGCTCGCATTCGTTCCTCCTGGTTCGTTTCTACATAATGTAAAGCGTGGAAATCGAGCTTACATCGCTAAGAAAAGGAAATCATTCGAACGCTCTCTCGTCTACTTAGAAAAGTATCTCTTAAGGAGCAGAAATCCTTGCCCGTGTTACCTATAATAACGTTTCGAACGACACACCCGTTAATAATTAGGTGAGATATTTACGCGCGACGTATTTACAGTGATTTAGCTTATTGTACATCTTCGCGATCGACGTTCTCGTGAAAAATAGATGTTTCGTAATTTTCCTTCTTTACGGTAGCGTTCGGTCTCTCTTCTTTTGTTTCACGTAATTGATAATCGTTTCACGTGGATCACGAGTCCGTCGTATCGGTAACGTGCGTAAGACACTATTATCAGTTCATCGATAAATGCTCGAATCAATGAATACATTCGTTCTGTACGGAAGCACTAAATGCTCTTTGCATCGAAACGCGTTGATTGCTTAGGTTCAGGCAAATAGTAGACCCGACGATACAAAAACGACAAACTTATCGGATAGACTCTCGACGTTCCCCCGTGAATTATCGTATCCGTGTAATCGTCTTGTACTATATGAAAATACAGTGTAAGGCTGCGTTTATGTTTTTCACACGCGAAATCGCTAACTCAACTGCTCGGTTTCCTCTCCTAAATCTTCCATTGGGTGCAACGTACCCCTAAACGTGTCCCCTATACTCCTTAACTATCTTTATTACACAGAACGTTTCGGAAAATGTGTGCTCAAAAATAGAGAAAGCATCGGATGTTCCGAAAGTACATGTATACCGAGACAAATATGTACAAAAACGATTTTTAAAGCATCTGTTCGAGTCGATATATCGAGATGTCTTTTCATTATCTATTAAAAGTCCAAATTAAATTGCTCTTTCATATTTGGAACACTCGATTATGAATATTATGTCTTCTGTAAATAAATAATGTCCCGAATTGATACGTTACAATCCATTCGATAGCATCAAAGGGGTCTTTTTTTTTTAGTGAAACAGACACACTGCACCCGATAGAAGTTCAACGATGCACCTTTTAATAAAACTGCGTATTTTACTGAAACCCTCGAACGTATAATTACTTGAGCTGCTCGAAAGATTAACCCTCGTAAACTTCGTGAGAAATATTGATAACGATTTGCGTACGCGCTGTCGTTTCAAAGTCTGGGACCGTTCTGTCGACCAATTTATAATTAGGTAGAGAGAGTCGTAGAAATAGATAAGTTATTAAAGACCAAAGTTTGGATGATATAAAGTATTTATAGGATCTTAAACGAATCGATGATGTTCACGAATTCGTAACGAACTTCAGATGGCAAATTTACCTAAGTAAATGTCAAACTTGAAATATAATGAATCGAATTGAAGATTATACGATCAGAAATAATCGAAGGTCATCGTTCGTGATTTGATATATGTATGTATATCGTTTGTCGAGCCGATTTGATACAAATTTCTATATTTATTTAGACTTAGATCAAGGTATCTGAAATTTAAACGATACATACAAATAACGCCAGACTTGTGAACGATAGCGTACACGCTGTTGCATGTATCTGTCAGATATCGCTGTATGTATACTAGAGCTTTTAGGTTTACGTTTTAAGGCCATGGCATGTAATCCTCCCCTATGTTAAAAGGAAACCAGTTAAAAAAAAAACAAAAAAAAAAACAAAAAAAAACAAAAAAAAACTAATTCGGATAATTAGTTCGCAAAGTTGTGTCTGCCGCTTACTTACAATTAGTATAATCTTAATTGTACGTTTCCATTCGTGAACAAGCATACCAGTACATCGTATACCTACGGGGCACGATACAGTTAACAATTTCTTTGTTCTTTACGTGTTCTGTGACAATGTACAAACTGATACGTATGTATCGCGTATGTTTTGGTATAGGATATGAGCGTAGACAAATTCAAAGCAAACGGTGAGCCTACAATTTCATCGAGAGAAGATCGGAATTGCGTGAAAATTATCGAATGATACAATTTGCGCTTAACACTATAAAAACCACAGATTTGTTTCCAATGCAAAGAATTGAATTTTGTTATGCTGTTTGTACAGCGATACTGTAGCGTTACAACGTAATAAAAGCAACCGAAAATCAACAGCGCTATTAATAATACAAGGACACGAACAAAATAAAAAATAAAAGTTACAATTTTTAATAATATATATATTTTTTTTTTAATAATAGTATAATCAATGTGTTATATGTATATATATACATATACACGTATACGTGTGTGTATGTATGTATACATATAATGGGCAAATTAATATTTACAGAAATACGTCTTGGTATTAGTTTTTGCGGATTCGTATCCCATCTTTCGTTTGCACGTTGTATATTATCTTTTAACATTAAAAATCTTTCGTCTATCTAACCGTGCTCCGCCGCAAAAACAAAACCGGGGTGAACTATGGCAACTAACGTAATAATGGCAAGTATTTGCTGATGAAAAGATCGGAGTGAAGAGACACGTCTTTTTTTTCGGTGGACAAGTTTACATATGGAATGAAACGATGAGAAGAGAAAGAGGTGTTGCGATTTAAAATTAAACGAACAAATACGTGAGAGGAAGATCCGATAAATAGAAATGCAATTACACGCAGGACTTAACAAAAACACTTTACACTCGCAATAATCCAAAAAGGAAGAAAAAATAGGACGAATACACCGGACAATATACAATGACGCGAACGAACGCAGTGAAATTCTATAAATGTAATACAAATTGCAATGTAATTAAATAAAGGGAAACATACATTGTATTCTGTCCGCAGTATGCGAGAAACAACTTCAGCATATGTATACGATGTGCAATCGCGAAGATCCAATGTCATTCCGATATCATTCAATGATCACTGTTATATATACCTCCGTAAACGAAAATTACAAAAAGAGCTCTCAACGTAAAATCTCCTTTTTCTTTTTAAATTCTAATCTTCTGATCAAAGCCTCACGACGCTTCGTATTATTCAATTTTCGTGGAATCGAACTCTGTCCAGAGAGTGCATTAACCGATTTCGAACGGAAATTCGCGAATTAAAATGGACGCCACAACAGGTCTCTATTGTTGATTAAATCTTACATATAATACATTCAACAACCAGAAACATGAAACATTTGAATCGTGCCGCAGCCGAGAGCGACTTTTCTCTTTCATCTCTTTTTTCTTTTTACTTTAATGTTTTACAAATAAATCTAATATAAGTCACTGGAGAATGTTACGATACTCGTATAATTGTCGATTAAGTCTGGTACGGCTGCTGCGCGAGACAATGTTAGCCATAAGAATTATTCAACAAGCTTTGAAACTGTGAGAGGATAGAAATCACAGAAAAACGTTCGGTTCCTCCGTTAAGATTCGAAATACTGGCGAGTTACAGCATCAAAGTGTGCTTGATAGAACGAAACAAAAAAGGGCATAAAAAGATCGCAAAATCGTTCATCTTATAATTTCATTTTCCGTTAATACAATAAACATATTTAACAGTTCGTAAATAATATTCGAAACAGTATAAAAAAAAAAAGACAAAACGATCGACAAATAAATTTTGCTAATTACAGTTACACAACGTAGAGAGCGCGCGGAAAAGTTGCTGTTAATTTTTTCGCTCGATAACTGTTAAAGCTATCGTTCTTCTTTTTTATTTTTCGTTTTCTTTCCTTCTTTTTTTTCTCGTTACTTTACAAGGAAATTTTTTCTGTAGTTTCTCTACTCCAAGTTTCAAAAAAAAAAGAAAAAAAAAAAAAGAAACGAAAAAGAGTGATTCTTTTCATGAGCGAATCGTTTTTTCAAACAAAAAAAAAAAGAAACAACAGGACGTAAAAGAGTATCACTCGAGAACGTAAACACGTTTTGCGTTCCAATGTGCGTGCACAAGAAATGCCTTTGACGTACGTCCTTATTATTTTCAGTGTGCATATAACGTGTTAAACATTATATATAGTTATACTATGTATAATATGACACTGCGGTGTATAATACTACGGACCTTAAGAGTTGGTATGTTCAAAGGCAATTCTTGTACACCATTACCCATTCTACCAAATGACATACAAAACGTACCTACACATACAACTAACGAATGCGAGAGAGAGATTTTTTTTGATCGTAAAATTTTGTCACGCAAACAAAATTTTACCGTATAATGCGATTTCGATACTTTCGTCTACTTATTTTTATACTCATCGTTTGCGTAAGTGGATGCGGGCTGCGTCTAAAATTATCGCTAATAGGCGCTTTTTTTTCCTTTCATAACAAGAGCGAAACCGCCCCTGAAGATACACAATTATAATAATATGATTAGACTTTATCGCTAACGTAATATTAAAAAAATTGGATTACTTTAAAAATTGGAGATTACTTTTTTTTTTAAAAACTGTTCCTTAGACAGTATATCGTTTACATCATTTTCATTCTTTTTTACGATAAACTTTTGTTTGTTTTTCTTTTATTTCTCACTGGTATAACACCACATATGTATCGTGTAAATTTCTTTTTAAATTTACTTTACACATTTAATTTTTGTTTTGTTTTGTTTAATCTGTCTTATTATTATGCACTTTCCCCCTCGGGCGACTTAGAGCCATCACTATTCACAATGCGGATAGTAGAATCGAAGAACTGTATACGGTAGTACAAGGTACATTTACATAAAAACAATTATTAGAATCGCATAGATGTTTCTGTTCCATTTTGATTATATCCAGTTGTGAATTTTACAATATCACATTTTTTAGACATCTGTTTCAGTATGTCATTGCGGGTCTTCGTTTCACGTGTTTGCCTTCCCTCCTCCGAAATATTTGTATCGCTATCCGACACGTTTATTACCAAAGTTGCACTTGTTCTGTTGTTCGATTACCATGAATCCTGCTAATTATCCGTTCGATCTGTCTTGTGGATGAGTATGCTCGGTTCCTTACAATACCATTGGCGTGAACACACGATATGCACTTATTTCTCGATCTTTCTGCTTTAGTACATCGGCTACTTTAAGTTTCGTTTAAATATAAGTGCAAACTTGTGTAACATACGTCTCCTATGTTGTACGGCGTCGGACCTCCTGTTCATGTAGCGAGCAATAATTTGTTTAGTGTTGTTGTCCATTCGTCATTTATTACATACGATATACACAATTTTACATTCGAGACACTGTGTTTTATCGTAAGCTTAATAATGTTTCTATTTTTTTAACCAATCTCATTGCATTGCACGAGCGTTTTTTTCATTTAATTCTTTGTTTTTTTGCTTATTAAAATGTCACGATGTTCACGTGCCTGTTCTATCGACGTATACACATGTGTTTTTTTATTTCCATTTTTTTTTTACACAGATTCACTGCACTTGTTTTTCATTTTTTTTCGCTTTACGTATGAACTTAAAAATTAAGGAAACTTAATGAAACGAATTCCACGCGGGGAGTTTATTATGTGTTCTTTTTCGATCGATTAACGATTACGCGTGGCTTTCTTTTATTACACGTTTAAATAAATTTAACGTTTATTTAATTATTAGGTTTCGTTTATATCAGAAATCCACTTTGTCACTTGTTTAAATTGTGTTCGTCGAAGCTTATTTTTTCGTTGCAGAGTTCTTTATTAGATAATCACGGGCGAATTTGAGCCTTGACCTTGGCGAAACCGCTTTTAACGATGAGATTTTAATCAAGAAAAACAGTTTCCTAACAATTTTCCTTCTTCCCGATAATACTTGCGTTACGTCAGATATATCTGGATCTTCGTTTATCGATTCTCGATATCTGGACAAACACGAACGTCAATAACGAATATCCGTATGTACTAAATTAAACGTCAATATAGAGTACTAATTTATTAATATAAAATATACTATCTCTTGATGGTGACGGTAATGACGACGACGTCGACGACGACGATGAATGATGATAGATGATTATGATGACAACGATGTCGATGACACGATTCGACGCTTACAAAGTCATGGACGTGTTCTCGCAATGACAAATATGATCGTGATAAGTTTGAGCACCACGATGACGATGATGATGAAAATGAGATGAACGGTTATATGACGATAACGATAATGATGATAATAATGATGATGAAATTGCCGTTAATTGGAATATGTTAACAATAACGATAGCTTTAAAAAAATAACAATCACAACGGGGACGCGAAGGAACAAGTGTCGTAATAAAGAACTCAGCAACAAAGTTTTGTTTGCAATGTGTTGGACTTACAGGCTGTTTCAGTGACGTTTGATTGTATTATTTAGTTTAGGTTAGTTCCTAGTTGACCATAAGTGTATGCGACTCCATCGGTGCTGCACTATCATACAACGTGTCTGTATCTTGCGTAGGTTCACCTTGAAGTTGACACTGATTATTTAATGTTCCAGCACCACAGTCACAAAAGAATCTAAAAAAATAAATTAGTTACACATACATCGTTATGTATTAGATTTGTAAGTGAGTTTCTTCTGTCTATATTGAAATTATCAATAATATTTACCGGTCATGTCTGATGAATTCTACATCGTGTCCAGCATGACAGGTTTTTATACAGTTAACACAAATTGCGTTACGATCTGTAGTATTGCATGTCTGGCACCGATAGAAATCATGCATAGGGAACGAGGTGTACGACGAAATTTTGTATAAACATTGGCCGTTTCCAACCGCTTTCTCGACTGCATCTTGATTATTAAATATTTTATTGCCTGAGAAAACAAAAATCAACGGTTATTTATCTTTCTTCTACGTATGTTATTTTCAAATTAATTCGGCAAACAAAAGAAAAGATAAGAACCTCTAGTCGTTGGTTGAACTCCGCTCGCTAAGCATAGACCACCAAATCTATTATTGAATATTTGATTAAATTCTAGCGTAGCAGTCGCGTTATTTGTTATTTCAACGCCAGCTGCTAAACCATCGAAAATTCGATTCCTCCTCAAGACTGGATGAGACTGCGTAGAAATAAGCACTCCCGCTTGAGCGTTACGAAATATGTCGTTTTCCTCGAGAACACCTGTATGGGAAAAAGAAGAAAACAATCGGAATGCAAAGGTTTCATCAAAATTAAGTAGAAACTAAAACTCACCTTTACCACCGTTAAATATACAAATTCCACCGTCTCGCCCGTCAAAGATTTTGTTTCTTTTTAATGTAGGGTTACTATCCGTTTTAATCCAAACTCCTGCCATCGCGTTATCAAAAATCTCATTTTGTTCGAGTAAACCTAATCCGCTATTATACACAAGAACGCCACCGTTTTGTCCACCCCATATTTTATTTCCACGTATCACTGGATTGCTTCCAGTCCTAATATTTAAATATACAGTTAGCGCAAAAGAGCGAGAGTACATGATTTTATTTGTAAAAGAATTTCTTACCTTATTTGTACTCCCGAATACAAATGATTGAAAATATCATTGTCTTCTAGTTTGCCGTGTCCATTGTCATAAAAATAAACTCCGACTTGTTTACCGCTATGAATACGATTCCTTCTTAAAACCGGTGTCGATCCCGTGGTTATCCAGACACCTGCTAAAGTGTTGGCATATACTTCGTTCTCCTCGATTAAACCCTGACCTTTCTCGTGTACATATATACCACCGTGTTGACCGTGATGTATTTTGTTATGTCTAACTATGGGATCCGAATTAGTTCTGATCTGTATGCCGGCTAAGGCGTTACCGTAAATATTGTTATGTTCTATCAAGCCTCTTCCCTCTCCAAATATATATACTCCTCCCTGGTGACCATTGTAAATTTCATTTCTACGAATCGTCGGATTCGAATTGGAGGTGATCCAAACGCCGGCGAAATTGTTCGAGTGAATTTTGTTGTCAATAAATTGACCTAAACCGTTTTCATGGACATATATTCCGCCTGTTTGTCCATGGTGTATCTCACAATGTACAACCGTTGGATTAGCACCAGCCTTTACTTCGAAACCCGCTATTCGATTATTGTGAATATCGTTAGCTTCGAAATATCCGAGACCGTTATCGAACGTGAATATTCCAACATCCCTTCCGTGGTGAATATGATTCCTCCGCATTATGGGATTAGCGTAATTCTTCACCCAAATTCCAGCTAACGCGTTTCTAGAGATCTCATTGTCTTCGTAAGTTCCTTGGGCATAGTCGGTGACATAAAGTCCAACGTTTTCGCAATCCGATATGTCACAATTCTTTACCACAGGATTGGCTCCAACGCCCGACACGCAAACAGCTGCTCCAACTGAAAAATCAACGTTAAGTCGTCGACGTTCCAATGAAAGGTCGATGCAACACGGATCGATGATTTACTTACCAACGCTTGAACTCCTAATAATACAATGATCCACTGTGGGACTGCAGTTTTCACCAACTTCTAAACAATAATGTTTATGGTGCGGCACTGTACTAGTAACATCTGGCGTAAACTTTAACGTGAGATGACCGGCGTAAGCTCGTTTTGCTCCTTCTACAAACATAACTGTAGATTCACTTTCTCGTTCCAATATAACAGACTCCGCTACGTTTCCAGGTGCTGCACCGATCAATGCAACGTCGCTGTCGATCACGAGAAATTCGCCTCTATAGATTCCAGCGTGTAAGAAAACTAAATGTTGTGGCGCCTCTTCCGCTGACTGAGAATTACTTCCGCAACAATTCCCTTGACCGCTCGTGGTTGTGCTATTATTTGACGAGGAACCACTATTGCTTCTATATTCATCTACGTAATCTAATGCTCCCTGAACAGTATTAAAGTATGGCAAATGTCGTCCTTTGAACTTCAAATCCTGAAATCCTGGCCTAACGTGCACCCCTCTGTATAATTGTCTAAAGCTCTCTTTCCATGGATTTGCATAGTCTGACTCATCCGGGGATACGAATTCAAATTTACAAGGTGCAGGATTAAATAGTGGTAAGTCGTATTCGTAAACTTGCTGGTACAAGGACTTCCATAGTTCGGTGTCGTTTGCAATCGCTTGGAAACGTCTGCAAACTTGCGAGACACGGCATAGATCTTGCTCCATTAGATAATTAAATATAGTAAGCAGCACTTCGTCTGGTAACTCATACTGGAGGTAATGCGCTGCTGTGTTTGTGTTTGTACCTGTAGAGTAACAAAGACAAATTTAAAGGACTCGTTCGTTAAAAAAGTGTCGTCTGTACCAAAAATTCATTGCATATGAATATACCATCCGTGGATAACGAACACGTCCGCCTAGGTCGTTTTCTTGCTGGTAGGGAGGAAGAACCAAGAGTGGCACCGATACTACTACCACCCGACGGAGGTAAAGCAGAGCTAGTACCAGGAGCAGGATCTGGGTGAGGTGGACTTTTACGCCTTAAGTCATATGGAGAAGAATGTGAATGTGATGGGGAAGGTGATGGTGCTGCAACACCAGAGACACTTGGGGAAGATCCTCTTCCACCGCTTCCACCCCCACCTCCACCTCCTCCTCCTCCTCCTCCACCACCTACTCCGCCACCAGGAGGTATCTGATTTGATGCTGAACATGGCAAGTCGCATGGCTCGGCTGAAAGAACAAACATTACACTTGAAATATTATATATGTAACAGGACAACACACTTTGACACAATTATGGCGAAAATGAGGTAAATGTTTGTTGACATTTGTCATATTGCAGTGGAATTATAATTGGTCTTCAAGATTATGAAACTACTTACAAAGTCACAGTGGATTTCAAAGGTTATACTTGAGGATAGGTGTTTAATATATAAAAATAATGAAATATAAATTAATTAAATATGTTAGAAATGCTGATGCAAGAATTGGAGCACTGTATTGTATGTCTGATGTGTCTACACAACTAATTATATTTTGGAGTAAGAGTATCCTAGCTCCAATTTCTAAAGCAATAGAGAAACCTTTTTATTGTATGTTAACTGTGATAGGTAAATAATCGTACTAATTCGACAGAGAATGTATAGGTGGTACATCAGAATGAAAAGAGGCCTCAGACCTTTTGCCTTGATATCGCGTGCCGATTATTTTCCCAAATTGCGCGATCATCCGTCGTTATGTACGTTCAGCAGGACGTCTAATAAATCGGAATTATGAAAAAAAAAAAATATATAGGGGGGAAGTGGGGTGAGGAGTGTAGACTTTGAGCCGACATTCCACCGTAAAAATTGACGATCGCGAAGTATACGCGATATCATGATCGATGTCCCCGAAAAAAGAAGGGTTGGTGCGAGAGCGGCGAACGTGGGTACGTTAGTTTTAGGAAACGTCATCGGCAGTCACACGAATATATCCGTCGCATTTTTCGGCCATCCCGTACACGGAGAAAATCGTGCGAGAGAAGAGACGTGGGCAGTGTAAGGTTTGACGGAGTCTCTGTCCTGCTCTCTCTCTCTCTATGTTCGAAATCGTAAACGAGAGACATGAGTAACGGAAAGGAAGTATGTCGGTTAGTCGGCACGAAGACGCGTAATCGTCGCAACGGGGTTAACCCCGGGGAATATCGAAGTAGGTGAAGGCAAAAGAAATGAGCCGAGAGACGACAGGTGAGCAGTGAACCGAGGGTCCGGATGCAGGCCTCTTACCCGAGGTGGTTCTCGAAGGCAGAGGAATCCTGTTCGCGCCTTTTCTCCGGGATCTCCGCACGTAATTGCGCGATGATGTGAACGAGGCGCTTGGCATTTTTAACGTGCTTCCCGACAAAATTATGCGAGAAACGGTAAAACAACTAAACACTAAACAATGGCGACACTTCCACCGAGCCCAGCGGCCATCTTCTCATTGACGGTAGGACTGCCGACTGGTGCCAGACCGCCAATCGGATGAATTTCTGTTCTTCCCCTCTTTCCTCGCCGACCACCCTCGTACCCTACCCAACGCGATCCTTTTCTCGCTCACACGTCTTTTACCCCCTTACACCGATCCCCTCTTCTGCAGTGGATCGCGACACAAGCACCAACATCAGTATGGAGTTATGGAGACCACGGACCGAAATACCGATTTGTGCGTGTCCGCGATTTTATCATGTCTCGCTCTATCGGTGGTATACGTCGCGAGCCTCTACGTATGGAGTACCCCGTACAATAGGTACGTAATGCCGATCGGCGGACGAACGGCAGTCACTTTTAAATGTCCATTTTCGTGTGACTGTGTAACGCGCTCTCTCGGTCCTGCTAACGGTGAACCACAGGGAACTGCGAACAAAGTGTAACTGTATTCACGTCGCCCTGTGAACGTGAATGCTACTCTTTATCGAGTTCTCCCACTCGTGCACTCACTTTTGTGGACAAGAATCGAATCCACTAGCGCCTCTGCTGGCAAACTTTTTACCTTCTATTTTCTTCTTTCATTGGCGGGATATTTAAATGTCATAAAATTTTTTTTTTATTCCAGAGAGCATCCCTCAGTAATAAAGAAAAGATTTTTTAGCGTTTTTATTATATCTCTTATATCTCCTGCTGCATTGTACTTCGGAACGAATGAAAAAGTCTTTCAGAAGGTAATTAATTATAATTACCTTAACACTATTATGTAGGGAATCTTACATTGTAATTTATAATTTTCAGGCAACGATTTGGGAGTTACTGGGTCTACGGTGGCCAGGTTTATTTCAAGCAACCGCGATACCGTTATTGTTAACAATGATATTATATCTAGGACCCTTAAGTATACAAGGTTTCAATGGTCTTTGGAGATTATACACTGGTTAGCCTTTCATATATTATTTGTGTGTAAAGTACTTATGATGTAACTATAGAAACGTAGGTCTCCCATTTTTAGAGCCCATGTATTGGCTTGGAAGCATAAGAACATTGACATGGTGGAGGAATCAAGTTGTTGCACCTCTGTCCGAAGAGTGGACATTCAGAGCATGCATGTTGCCATTGCTTTTGCAATGTTTTACACCCACTACTGCTATATTTGTATGTTCTTTATTTTTTGGAGTTGCTCACTTTCATCATGTAATATATCTAGTAGGAACAGGCAGAAAACTTAAACATGCACTTTTTACATCTTGTAAGTACTACTTGCAGTTTTTGTTTAACTTGAATATATCAACAAATTTTTACTAACACATTTGTTACTTAGGTTTTCAGTTTATATATACAACATTGTTTGGATCCTATGCAGCTTTTCTTTTTGTTAAAACAGGTATGGTGACTATTTTTCTTTCTTAAAAACTTAATTAATTAATGTTCCTTCCTGATTTACAGGCCATATAGCAGCTCCATTTATAGCACATTCGTTTTGTAATCACATGGGATTTCCTGATTTATCAGAGGTTGTAACATTAAGGGATCCTTTAAAGAGAGCTGGATTGTTTTCTTTGTTTGTCATTGGATTAGTAGCTTGGTGTTTTCTGTTAACACCAATGACAAATCCGACGTTGTTTCATAATAATCTATTTTGGCATAAATATTTTATATGAGATATGATTTATTTGCAACAATGTCACTAATATTATTTATCATTTTTATAACAGAATTAGGCTATCTTGAAATTATTACATCGTTTTAATAATTCATATTGCATGATGTTTTTAAGAGCACATTTTTTACAAAAAGAGTAGTACTTTATGAACACTAACAGAGTGATTTATAGATTAGATGTATACATGTACACGCAGTTTATATTTTTAATTTGAGATTTAGATTATTAATTTTGTCGATTTTCAAAAATGCTTTAACTTTCCCGATGTAAATAATTTTCGTTTTATATAAAGCAATTTATGTGCAATCAAATTATTAGACAAGTTAATCATGCAATATAGAATTGTTATAAAATCACCGTAGTGCCTCATATTTAATTGACTTATCTAGTTGTAATCATGGATATTAATAACAATTTAGATAAAGTTTTTCTTAAATAAAAAATGTTGACAGAATATTGTACAGTTAAGGAATTATGACATTGTTACAATAAATAATGTACTATTAATTTTACATTAGTAGAACAAGAAAATTGTAGAAATTCATTATTTCGGAAGTTTTCTTTCGATAAACAGTATAAGTGTGAAAACGTTTTATGTTAAAGTCACGTAATTCATGTTCCTAATTACACATACGAAAACATGTTTACATTCATGTGGGAATTAACATCGTAATACATACACTTATTGTTTATTAGAATCACAGAGATAACAGTTATAACAGTATTACAATATTTGCTACAAAATGCATGTATTTATCTATCAAAAAACATGAGGAAATATATACGAGTTTACATACTGAGATAATATCTTCATATACGAAAGAATGTTTTTACAATGCACTGTCACGTGCTTTCTATAAATTACCTACTTGATCTCGTACATTTGATGCGCAAATATTAATCACAATTTGTTGATGACAAATAAGTTTTTCCTATGGAAAGAAAATTCGAATCGTTAAACGAAATGTTTGTATAAATATTTACATTATTTTAAACTGTAAATTTTTCAACAAAATCTGTTGTTATATTTTAAATATAGTAAAAAACGGAATTTATAACATGGATGGATTCATTCATTTATAACATAGTAATATAGAATATTCAAATATAAATAAACTTTCAACTTGTATAATATACCAATTGTCAACCTCGAAAAACTCTTACTTTTTTTATTTTAGAACAATTTAAATAATTATACATTGTAGCTAAAGTGTTATGTTAAAATTTTTTTCTCGAGTACGATAGATTGTAAATATTAAGTTTTCTGAAAAAGATACTTGTTCCTAACCTTCAAACGACGCTGTTATTTTTTCATAAATAACCTATCATTTTATCGTTACAGTTCTTACAATATACTTCATTAACTATATCACTTTCATATTACACTTCTAACGAAGCTGTTTTTCGAAGAATTATAATCAGAAATATTGACAAATTATACTAGGAACTGTAACAGCAGACTTTTGTGTGTAAATAACCCGTAATAAATAAATAAATGCAGATACTACTAGTGAAGCTTCGGTTACGTATGACATAAAAAAAGATATCAGACTGTGAAGTTCCTGTGAAATACACTTCTCGTATTATCATTACGTTTGGCTAGGTCCAGGTGTTGCTTCAGAGTTTTGTGACTGGTTGAGAAACAATACATTGCTTGTCTTTATAGTTGGACCTGATGAAATAAGCGAGGGACACGGACTAATACACGGTGTTGATGAATAGCTATTACTTAAATCACATTGATCTAACAATTTCCAAAGTTCTTCTGGTGTAGGCCCCCCAGAAACATCTGTAACCAAATTGCTTGTCAGATGATTAATGTTCACGAATTAATTCTTAAGAAAAAAAGAATGGTGTTACTTTGAGTAGAAGAAAAAGATGGCTGTAAAGCTGTTGTAAGATCCCACATTTGAATGGTACCATTAGAATGTCCAGTAAATATAAAACGCCTGGGTCTTGAACCCATACGGCTAGATCCTTCGCATTCGTGCACGTAAAATGAACTTATAATACTACCATCTACTGATTTGATTACGCAAACCCGTTTTCCGTTTGATGCTAAACGAACGAATAACTGATCAGTTTCAGGTACAACTTTTTGAACAAATACTTGTTCGTCGTCCTGTTCTCCGAATGGTCCTGTATTGCAGAACATAGTAGTAAAATTGTTGCGTTTCAATATGGTTAGCAATATTTCAATTGGTCTTTGTAACATACCAAAATCATTCCCAGCATTATAACTGATACAAGGTTCAATTGCCTCTAAAGATACAATTTTGAAACTAGCTTCAGGTGTTGATCCAGGTTGAGTAGAAATCATTCCACGAAATCTTTTCACTGCCCAACTCCTAACATGGTTGTATTCAGAACATACTGATACCAAATACTTTTCTGATAATGTGACCTACAATGCATTTTAATATATATGTATACAATTCGTAAACTAATACTATCGAAAGCGAGAAGTTTCGAAATATAGACATACTTTTGTCACACTACTCTGATGTACTGTAAATGTTTGAAATAATTGTGGACCATGTCCTACAGTTTCAGGATGTTGAACTATAACCCTCACACTGCCGGACTTTGTGCCATACGCGATTTCAATCCAATTACCACAGAGAGCTGCGTAAAAAATCGTATTTTACAGTTAACAATTATTCAAAGTTAACAATTTAAACTACACTTCTTAATAAAAAATGACACAATACTGACATTACATATATTAGAGTCTGTAGAAATGGAAAGAATCCTGTGTGTGTGTGTGTGTGTGTGTGTGTGTGTGTGTGTGTGTGTGTGT